ATAGTTTTGGCCCGTGCATCGCACGAGTACAATACTAGTATATATATAAAACACAGAAGGAAAAAACGGTGGAGCCTCAAAATAGACGGAGCCGCAGGGACTATCAAGGCAGGCGGTGCGGCAACCTTCTCCGGCAATTTTAATTGGCTGTTTAAATCTGATTTAATGAAGCTTTTGATAAACATCAATGCTTCATCGAGAATAATTTGTGGCAGTTCGGCAAATGGATAGGGGTTCACGTTCTCTTCAGTTTTAAACTTCCTCCCACAGAGTATTTTTATCCAGTCAACATGTTTGAGAGGCTTTCTACACTCGAACATTCGCCTTCACCGCGATTTATATCCTGGGACCGGCGCACCATGAGGATGGTGTGCCCGGTCCCAAAACTCATCATCCGCCTGCGGTCCAGCCTCTTCCAAGCCCTAGGCACCCTTCCAACCACCTCAACCGTTGTGCCCCACCGCACAACTCAAGTTGCCGAACAAATTTTCTGCCGAATCAATGCAGAAGAAGGATGAAGGCTGATCTCTATCTTCGTCGCAGGGTCTGGTCGCGATTTTCATCGCAAGGGACTGACTTCCATCTTCGTCGCAGGGGCTGGTCGTGATTTTCGTGGCAAAGGACTGACTTCCATCTTCATCGCAGGGGCTGGTTGTTGAAGGTGTAGCTATATACTGATTGTGTATTTTTGGCCGGAAGTTACATGTACGTAAAGGCGTTTTACATTTCTAAGGGCTGAAGTTACATTTCAGTTAAAGGAATTTACAACTGATGGAAGCTTTCAAGTTACATTTCAGTTAAAGAAATTTACATTTCAACGAGTTACATCTGAATGAGTATAACTTACATTTTGATAAGTTACATATGGAATCACACGTTTTACATTTGATATAACCTTGGGAGCAGGATGCTCACCATGCACCACTCCCACGGTATAACCACTTACCTTCACATCGTTTAGGTTTTTTTGCCATGTCAGCAAAATACTACGAGCATTGGAGGGATAAATACAAAGACAATGTCTAATTTTAATGAAGTGGCGCACTAGACAGCCTGAGTTGGAGTTGGTCTAATATTGCTATCGTTATCTATTTAGTAAAAAGAATTTTGCTAAAGGTTACATTTTGAAATACCTTTAACATTTGTGCGGTAAAAATGTGTCATGCATTTTGACTTTGGAACAAGAAAATGAGTCAAATCCATAGACACCGAGTGCGTATACCGTGCAACCGGTATACGGTGAGCACCGTATACCGGGACGGCTTTATATTTTTTTTTTTCCTTTTGTTTTTAAAAAATGGTTATAACTTTTTTATTTTTGATCCGATTTTTATAAAATTTATATCAACATTTTTTATTTTTCATGATCTTTCAAATGAGACCAATATTGCCTATGTAATTTTAACATATTAACATTTGTGTGTAAAATATGTAACTTTAAGTGTTAAAATATGTAACTCACGTTCAGTCAAGTCAAATGCAACTCGTGTGTATAAATATGTATCTCTACGTGTAACAATATGTAACTTTACGTAAAAAAATATGTAACTCGCATTTAGACAGGTCACATGCAACTCGTGTGAATAAATATGTAACTCGCGTGTATAAATATGTAACTTTACGTGTAAAAATATGTAACTTTACGTGTAAATATATGTAAGTCGCGTTCAGACATGTCAAATGCAACTCGTGTGTATATATATATGTAACTCGGTTATAAAAAGATGTAACTTGCTTATAAAAAGATGTAACTCGCTTATAAAAAGATGTAACTTGCTTATAAAAAGATGTAACTCGCTCATAAAAAGATGTAACTCAATGTATTATCAAATGTAACTGAGGCCACTGATCCACTCCCAAACAGATTCGATCTTCTATTTCACAAACCTATCATCTCCCAAACAGATTCGATTTTTCTTATAATCCAATACTCATTAATATAATAGTTCGATAATTTCTTAAAATTACATACACAATATTGATCTCTGATGGAGTAATAGGACTAGGCCCAGAGCCTAATCAGCCCAAGCCCCGAACTTGGACCCGTGGATCCAAGTCCACAACCTAGAGCCTACCTGCCAACCCAGCGGGAAGCCTGCCAGTCCGACCGACCTCCCAGCCCGGAAGAGTAACGGTCAAGCAATTAATGCACTATTAATTATGTATTTAATTCTTTATTAATGCTGTAATTAGTTAGTCATTATTATCGGTAGCGGTTACGATTTGTATACGCCTATAAAAGGCGGCTTGTAATTCATATTAGGAAGACAAATTCTAGATGCTATTTCTGGAAACTAAATCTCCTAGCTACTTTCCATTCTCGTTCTTGCATTCCTAATTCCTGCTTGAGTGTCGTACGTAGCTTTCCTAAAAGCCTACGAGCGTCCTATTTTGGACCAACATTGGTGCTTTCATTGAGAGTCTCCCTTTTCTCTCATATCACTCTAGTGGGAATTAAGAAAAAATACGATCTCTAAACAAAATCACGGCAGATCCATCCAAAAAATACAGAAAATTCATTAGAAACATGAAAGATCTAGCAAAAATGGTTCGGAAATCCTCCAGATCTAGCAAAACGGTTCTGGAATCTTGCAAATCTGGAGCTTCTTCTATAGACCTGAACTCCGGCAAATTGGGCTTACCAAAGCAGTCACGATCATTGCCAAGCTCAACCACTTCGCTGCACCACCTGTAGAATGTCGGGTCATTGCAGGTTCAGCATCGTCGTCGCTCTAAGTTTTAGTGCCACCGCCACGAAGGTCCTGCGAACATACGACCTAAACAACGTATGAACCCGCGGTCTGCGTCGAGGCCTGAACCAGCCTGGCGGCCAGCAACATAGTGGAGATCGACACATAACGTATGACTCCAAGACGAGCGCTACAATTCCATCACCGCCGCGCTGTCACCGCGCCGCCCGCCGTCGAGGTTTGCTGGGCTTTAACGCTGAGATTGAGTTGCGAGATTGGGGACCGCTGGGCGAGATGCTCCGGGCTGGTGACAGGAACCGAGGGCCGCCCCTACTTCGACGATGGCGAGCTCATCCTCCCTTTCCGGCAGCATCAAGGACAGAGGACGTCTCCTCTTCCTCTCCGAAGCTGCAGATCTGCCCTCATTTGTCCAGACCAAACGGAAGTTGCGGAGAAAAAAAATCAGGCCACGATCGTTCCACGAGTGTGCAACATCTCACAATTTAGGTTGGGCCCAAGGGAATCACCATGCCCTTTCATTACAGCCAAGCCCAGGGGAATCACCATGCTCATTCATTTCAGCCAAGCCCAATGGAATCACCAGGCTGATTTGAATCATCGAGCCTCTTCTTCAAAAAGCTAAGTACTCCACAATTATTTCCATACAATTAATATGTGAACATATTTAAAAAAATTGAAACATTTGAAAAGATATTTTAAGTGGTGTAATTGCTTTAACTCTTGTTGATCGTGTGTAATTTTAACATTGAAAAATGGACTTATGAAATCGGATCACTCACATACACCGGACGAGCACACACACTCGTACAATGGCCGAGCACACACACTCGCGCCACCGGGTCATGTCATATGGGTGTGGCGATTAATAAGCTCCAATATAAATGTTAATACCTCACACTCTTGACTTCTTACGGGTTCTTGTGTGCTCTTACCTCTTCCTAATGCATCACACTCCGACCTCGGGGGACGAGTCATCCGTTCAAAAGTCTTTACTTGCGGGTTCGAACTACTAACCTCGGGCGGCGAGTTAAACTCTTGTTAGGGGCCTAGAGCCACGCTTTTCCGAGCAATTTTGTCACTTAATTGACGTTCACATTTCTCGAAGAGGTTGATATACTTTAGTTCTCTGGGGTTGGATTATCCGTTCGAGTGAGGAGTCCGCCTCACTTACTCGCGGATTCAATCTTTCTTTCGGAGACTGGGTTGAGGCCTAACTTGGGAACTTGATGTCACTCTTTTCAAGTAGTGAGTCCGACTCGCTTACATACTGAGCCGTGGTTTGACACCAGGCCAGATGCTCTATTCTACACTAGTTTCTTTTATGTGTAGGTACAACTGAATGAAGTGGGGGACTGAGGGTCTTACCGTCTTCAAGGAAGCAAATGACGAACCTGACGAGTCTGAGCTCAACGAGAAGAACAGTTCTAGCCATCCTATTCGCACATGGCGACCATTACAATAAAGGCTGAGGATCTCACCTCTTGCTTCATCTTGGGGGCGTCAGATGTACTCTTTTTCCCTTCATTAGGATTTTTTTCCCATTGGGTTTTTTCCTAATGAAGGTTTTTAATGAGGCATCTCCCCAACATGGACAAGGGCGGGGATCTTCTAGTCTCGGAGAAGAGCAACTGACTTGGACTACTCCCTCTTAGCCGAGTCTACTACTCGACTAAGGGAGTGGGGGACTCGTGATGGAGTAATAGGACTAGGCCCAGAGCCTAATCAGCCCAAGCCCCGAACTTGGACCCGTGGATCCAAGTCCACAACCTAGAGCCTGCCTGCCAACCCAGCGGGAAGCCTGCCAGTCCGACCGACCTCCCAGCCCGGAAGAGTAACGGTCAAGCAATTAATGCACTATTAATTATGTATTTAATTCTTTATTAATGCTGTAATTAGTTAGTCATTATTATCGGTAGCGGTTACGATTTGTATACGCCTATAAAAGGCGGCTTGTAATTCATATTAGGAAGACAACTTCTATATGCTATTTCTGGCTAACTTTCCATATTCGTACTTTCCTAATTCCTGCTTGAGTGTTCTTACGTAGCTTTCCTAAAAGCCTACGAGCGTCCTATTTTGGACCAACAGTCTCATTTGAAAGATCATGAAAAATAAAAAATGTTGATATAAATTTTATAAAAATCGGATCAAAAATAAAAAAATTATTATCATTTTTAACATTAAAAGCAAAAAAAAAGAAGATGCTGCGTCGTTTTTGTAACCGGACGCATCATCCTCGTGGTGCGCCGGTTGCACCATATACACCTCCACTCACGTGCCATGATAAAACCTCAAGGCCTAAAACCCCTATGGACACATTCACACTCCCCCTATCGTAGCTCTGCTGCCCGAAAGACAAAGGTAGACGAACGAACCCCAGTCTGTATTTTCAGCTCACATTCGAATCGACACTCCTCGCCCATCTCCTGAGCTGCCATCTCCAGGCGATTGAAGGAGGAAGCCGCAAATGAAGAAGATGCGAAGGATGAAGCTCTGCTCAAAAGACGAAGCCCTGAAGAACGATTCTGCACTCCGCAATCTGCATTTAGTTGATGTCATAATAACTTGTTAACTGTGACCCAGGTTTGTGAATTCCGGTACTTATAACTATTCTTAATCTGTGTATGAGATATACTTCTCCGGAGACTTCTGTGTAGGAGCACAAGCTCAACCGTGAAAAGGATCGATGCGCTTCGGAGCTACGAGATTTTTTTATACCGCGTCGCTTTTGACCCAAAAGCGAATAAAGTTTCAAAACCCATCTGTAGATGACATTTCTAAGTCGCAAGGCCATCATCCTGCCTCCAGCGAAAACTGTGGGACGGACACCCAGACATATCCGCGCGTAGACGCGTAGTAATGGGTTAAGAACCCATTTCTCAGATCATATCTGCCTCATCTACTAAGAGTTCGCGAGTTCCAGTCACCGTCCTCTAGCTCCTCCTTCACCCTCCCAACCTTCCTCCCTACCGACAATACTGTGATTAAAGACATGGTCCTTTTTTGTTTTTCTCTTTCTTTGTGTTAAGTTTCTGTTGCCCGTCCCCTCTAGCCTGTTAGGAATAGTGTAGAACTACAAGTACATTTCTCTATAGTTGTATGGTAGTTATAAACGGTTAGTGCTTCTATATTGTTAGTTGTTAGTCTGTTAATACTACTACCTCCCTCCCGGAATTATCTCCTTATTTGACTGGGCACGGGTTTTAAGACAGCGGGAAATATGTGGTGGAGAGTTGTGCAGAGGAAATGGTTGTGAACCACAAATTCTTTGCCAAAAAGGGAAAAATGAGATAATTCCGGGACGGAGGGAGTATCATCTATATAAATACTCTCTAACTAATCATTCTCAACAAGATGATTTCATTTCCATCTTCTCTCTTACTTGAACTCTAACATGGTATCATGAGTTTCTGCTCGTTCCAACCATGATGAACTCAACCTCGGAATCAAATTCTTCGTAACCTTCTTCGCAATCTTTCTCACAAATTTCTCCAGTAATATTCAATCATCATTTACCAATCAAACTCGATTCCAATAACTGAATAACTTTGGGAATCTCAATAACTTTATGTTCTGGAGACACCATGTTGAATCCGTGATCCAAGCACATAAACTTCACAAATTTATAGAAAATCCTCAAATTCCAGAACAATTAGTTGTTGGCGACGATGGACAAACAAAAACGATCAACGAAGCATACAGTATCTCGGAGCAACAAGATCAAATGTTATTTTCCTGGCTCCTGGCGTCCCTTTCCAAGTCTCTTCATGCTCGCCAGTTTAGTGAGTCATTTTTGCTTTATTCCATCATATTCCCAAACCAAAAAATAGTGAATCATTGGCTCCATTGCAAATGATGGAAAATTTCTTCTCAGACATTGAAGTTAGAAAACTTCGTGGTGGTTGTCTGCACCTATCTCAAGCCAAATATGCCAGAGATCTTCTACACAAGGTTGGGATGTTGGATTTTAAAGGGGTGAAAACACCTATGGTAAGCAACTGTAAACTCACCAGTGAAGGAAGTGATTACCTTCCTGACCTCTCTTATTACAGATCTGTTGTGGGAGTCCTGCAATATGCTACTTTAACCAGGCCTGAACTAAGCCATTCTGTGAACAAAGTCTGGCAGTTTATCGCTATGGCTGCACCTCTACAAGAACATTGGAAGGCTGTGAAGCACATTTTGAGATATCTATCTGGCACTATTATTTATGGTCTAATCATCAAACCTCTACCTCTATCTACTATGCCTCTACCATTCACAACCTTCTGTGATGCTTACTGGGCATCTGATCCCACATACAGGAAATCAACATCAGGATCATGCATATTTCTAGGCCCCAATATCATCTCCTGGTGGTCTAGGAAACAACTGAGGGTTGCCAGGTTTTCAGCAGAATCTGAATATAGAAGCCTTGCTGACACTACATCTGAGATTTTATGGGTCCAATACCTACTTAGAGAACTTCAAGCTCCTTTTGTCACTCCCAGAGTCTGTTGTGACAATCTCAGCACAGTACAACTTGCTCACAATCCTGTTCTACACTCTCGGATCAACCACTTTGAAATTGATCTCTTCTTTGTTCGAGAGAAAGTTAGACTTAAGCAGCTTGAAGTTTTCCACATTCCAGCTCCTCAACAAGTTGCAGATGTGCTGACCAAACCTCTTTCTCCTTCTACTTTTCTTGAGTTTAGAAACAAATTTGATGTGATTGACTTTCCAAAGCAATCACTCTCAGTTTGAGGGGGGAATGGCAGGAATAGTGTATAGAACTACACATACATTTCTCTGTAGTTGTATGGTAGTTATAAACTGTTAGTGCTTCTATATTGTTAGTTGTTAGTCTGTTAAGACTATCATCTATATAAATACTCTGTAACTAATCATTCTCAATAAGATGATTTCATTTCCATCTTCTCTCTTGCTTGAACTCTAATAAAAATGCATATATTTAGCCAATGTTTTATTCTACGTTTCAGTTTATTATTCTCCCTTTCAATTTTTAATTGGGTGTGTCTTGGCTCATCTTTTTGTTTTCTGTTGTTTAAATGAATATGTGATGAAGAACTTGGCAATGAATACTGACCATATGCTATTAAAGAAACGACTGATCCCTTCCAAGCTGTGAACCACACGCAACGCATGTCCTCTTCAACTCAACTATTCACCTCTCAATTTCTCCCATTGTGCATTTCTCTTCCAATTCCTTCCGTGAATGTGACTCTCATTTATGGGAGGCTTGAACCTTGTATGGTTTTCAGTATAGGGAGGATACCAAATAAACTGAGTGTGTTTTACAAGATACGGAGTATTATTTTTGCTGTGTTTTTTAAAATAATTTAATTATGTTTTGAAACTAAATCATGGATATTTTTCCTTTCACGGTGCCTAGTTGGAGCATGTGTGACTTTGACACTGTGTTTCATACTAGTAGGATGGGCATTTTGACTTCGATTGGCTGTGTTTGATGATTATTTTTTTATCCTTTTTTATTTATTTTGAACATATTAGCTGCACAAGTGATTTCGATTGGTAATGAATTGCCTTGTTGCAGAAAGTCTGGGTAATAAACTTCTTAGAAACAGCTGGCTTAGAGACTTCACAGAAAATTTGGTTACTTTGGTGTGCAAAAGGTGTAGGTCTCCTGTTCTACATATTTTTATTTGTCTGATTGAGCACATGGGAGAACATGGCATCTTATGTTGTATCACTGTGCCTGCTATAATTATGTAATGGTTTAGGAGTAGTGTGATTTCAGGAACGGATTTTCTTCTCATTCGATGTGCCATTCAAATTGGGCATGTTTAGTGGGATGGACGGAGTATGTATTTGTGATACGAGTTCAGCTGTTACATACTATGTTGTTCTAAGAGATGAGCAAAGGTGAAAAATCCAGCAATTCTAAGGGTCCATTTGAAACTTAGTAATAAAGGGCACGGGACACAAAGTGGAGGCGTCATGGAACTGAGGCACACTTCTTTCTTAAAATGGATTTAATAAACAAAAACACTAACTGCTAATGTCTGGTACTTTACGTCGCTGACACGATAGTATCATGAAAAACAAGATTAAATACAAAAAAGCAGTTGCAGTAGTTTATCAGCAAAGGGGAAGAAACAATAGCAGTAGTGTATTACTCGCAAAACAGAGGGAAATACCAGTGGGGAAATGGAAAAGAGAATAAGAAATGGCGAAAAAGCGGAAGTCGATACTCGACGAAGGAGGAGGAGGAGAGGAAACTTACTTGTTGCAAAGACGAGAGAGCTCCTAAGCGTATGTTTTCTTTTGGATGAAAATTAGGTCTTCTAACCTTTGTGGTATAGGTTCAAATCCTATTGAACACAATTCTTCCATTTCTTTTTCTGACTCAAGGAAGAAGAAGAGGACTTCATTGAATTTGTAATTTAGTTAGGTTTAAATAAAAAGGAGAATATTTAGATGCACCCCTTTCCAAGAGGAGCTGGATGGCCAATGCCTCATATCTGCTGAGGGGCAATTTTTTTATCCATGACATGACTCAAGCATGCTTATTTAGACTACTAAGGTTGGAGCTAGGAGAATGCTTGGAAAAAAGGATGGAGGAAAAATAGAGGAAAATTATTGAGGAAAAGTAATTTTTTTTAAAGGAACAACATGCACAGTAAAATAGAAGGGTGCTTCAAACTCAATAAATCAATTATAAATATTTGTGCAAATACGCTTTGTTTAAATATTTCTATTACATAAAGACTAAGAAATATAAAACTATAAACTGTTTTAAAAAGTGTAATCCAATTTGATTTTCATTTGTACTCTGGCTTTTAAGGTAAAACCAAACATGAAAAACCATTTTTCTTGTTCTTTTCCATTTCCCCTAAGAGAAAAGGCGGAGGATTCCCTTGAGATCCTCTAACTCTCAAAATTCCTGGTATTTAATACGGAGTATTTTAATATCTTTCCCAACGCTAAAAGTTTCTTTGAGTAGAGCGGGTTTACCTTAACTATTGCAGTTTGAATTGTATAAGAGAAATTGGATGGTGTATACACGAAGTGACCTTGTAAAGTGCATGTTTTTATGTGCTTTTCACTTTTTGTGCATGAATCAGGGTTGATGGTGTAGGAATTTGTCTGCAAAGAAATAAAGCGTTCAGCTGCATGCATCAATGAGAAAGCTCGCCTCACTTGTTATATTGTATGTATTTTTATGATTTAGCACGTACAAACTTAAGTTCACGTGTTTAAATACGAAGTAATATATAAACATGTGGCACCATTAGGTTAAAGTAATGAAAACTTTATAAAAAAGTAAAAATATATCGTATAAACTGGATAATAAATCTAAGTTTTATTTTCATATAATATGAAAATACTCTTAATTCCCTTAAATATATCTCAATAACTTTAATAATAGTGTTCTTCGTTTGTGTTTGAATAAAAACTTTCTCAAATTTAGTGTGTGTATATGATGTGATTATCATGAAATTAATATTTATAAAGTACAATATTGATATTGAGGTGGATAAAATCACAAGTATGAGAGTAAACAAACTAAGCTCACTCCAGCTACCTGCAACCCACTTCCGTCAATGTCAATAAATCCAAATGTCATTGCTCTTAAACGAAAGTTACATATTCACTCTGTCAATTGAGTTTTCCTTTGCAACCCAACAAGAGTAAATATATCAATTATGTATATATGTTTTTCATATGATGAATAAAGGCCTTCATCATCATCATCATCATCATCATCATTTTCATTTACCCCAGTGCCGCAAAGGCTCCCACCTACGGTGGGGTAAGGAGGGTCGGATGTACGCAGTCTTACCCTTGCACTAAAGCACAGAGAGACTGTTTCCGGATGACCCATAGTGAAAATCGCGTCCAAAATTGCATGGACTGACTGCTGCTCCATAACAAAGAAGCGCACACAGTTTAGTGAGCCATTTTGCTTTATTCCATCATAATCTCAAGCCAAAAAAATAATGAATCTTTGGCTCCATTGCAAATGATGGAAAAATATTATGAATTATTATGAATTTTAAAACCACACATTTCAATGTAAATAAATAAACTTGGAAACTCGGTTATTTTTTAACTTTACTTGGTTATTAAATTATTTATAAATAAACAAGACTCAAGAAGGCTGCACAAGACTCAAGGGCCCCCCATATACCGTTTTCTTTTCTTTTGTCTGCAGAAGCCTTTCCTTTTTTCAGCCAAAGGATGGGCAATGAAGGGAGTGAATATGGGTTGGGGTTTTCCACCCCTTGTGGTGAATATACCCACTTTTAACCCCTTGTATACAAATGGGGGTGAATAACCCCATTTTTTTGTTTTTTCTCTTATTCACCCCTTTGGGTTGTAACCAGCTGTAAGCTTGGTTATGTTGTACATGTAGGGTCATACGAGTCAATTGAATTTCCTATTTCCATTTTTTGGCATAATGTCGTCACACATTTGACTTTGCTAGTCTGAGTCATCCCAGGATGCTCAGAAGTTGAAGTTGTTGGTTGTGCAATATGTTAGTCTGTACTCCTTATTAAGCATGTTATTATGGCATGCTGTTGAACTGCCTATACTGATGTTGCCTTGTTACACATCATCTTATTCCCAGGGGAGAAGATTGTAAAACCATGAGTGGTGCATTATCTGCTTTATCCATACTTTGTGAATCTTCTCACATAAAACACACACTAAGAGAAGAAAGAAGGCCGTTCTCTAGTGGAATCTCACAGAGAATTAAGGAAGATCATGTGGCAGCTCGCATTGCCAGGGGAGCTAAGGCAGAAGTGATTAGACAAGACAGAAGATGTAATGGCAGTTCCAATAGAAGCCCTAAAATAACTAAAAATGAAATGTCTGATGTAGTGAGCAAGGGAAGGAGGTGTCTGATACGTGAACATGCCACTCTCAAACACCATACCCATTATTATTACTCTAGTGGTAGAGAGCAAAAACTTTCTGAAAATGTACAATTTACAAACTGTTCTTCACCGTCTTTATCACAGATGTATCAACTAAGAAGAGATGAACTGCAATCACCAATCCAACTATTGCCAAATGTTATGCAGCCTATTAAGTTAATGGCAACCAAAACCAAAGAAAAGAAGACAGAGATTTTTTTTAAGCAAGATGAAGGCATCCCATCTCTGGAAACGGGAATCAACTTACCAGTTTTTGCTGGTAATGGTACTCTGAACCCGACTCAACTAGCAAACTCCACTGCCTCAGAAATGTGCATTACCAAGGCAAACCTTCAGGAGAGGCTGGGGTCCATCTATGAGAAAGTTTTCATAGTTGACAACATCTCACTGGCCAAGGAAGTAGTCAGTAAGCTTACAAATGAGTACAGAGATTTAATCCATGCATGTGATACTGAGGCATGTCTCCTACTTCTGTTTTATCAAAGTTTCTTTACAAGCTTTTTTTTGCAACAAGTTTCTTTACAAGCTTGTATATAGAACATATAAACATCTGTATTTTTTTTTTAAATACAGGACCTTATGTGCAGTTGGTTATGTTCTGAACTACTTTCGAAGAAAATATTAACTATTTCTGAGATTATTTATCTGCTTTCTAACACTTGATAGGTATCCAAGATTAATGTCAAGAAAGAGACACCAGTTGGTCATGGAGAAATCATATGCTTCAGTATTTATTCTGGACCAATTGCTGATTTTGGAAAGGGAAAATCTTGTGTTTGGATTGATGTTCTTGATGGCGGTGGGAAGGATATTTTAGTAGAATTTGCCCCATTTTTTGAAGATCCTTCAATTAGAAAGGTAAATCTAACGAGTTGGCAGTTTTATGTGGTTTCCAATGTGCTGCAATTTTGTCCCTTTTCAACTTAAGTTTGTGTTAGATTTTCCTCCTTTTGGACAATCAGCACTTTTGTGTTAAAATGCCTCATGCTTTTCAGTTTTCATAGGTATGGCACAACTATAGCTTTGATTGCCATGTCATAGAAAATTATGGACTCAAAATATCCGGGTTTCATGCTGATACCATGCACATGGCTCGGCTGTGGGACTCCTCCAGACGAGCAAAGGGAGGCTATTCGCTTGAGGCTCTTACAGGTGATAACTATGTCATGTGTGATGCAAGAGTCTCCCCTGGTAAAGAGCTGTTTGGTAAAGTGTCAATGAAAACTATTTTCGGCAGGAAAAAATTGAAGAAAGATGGGACTGAGGGTAAAGTTGACATCATTCCATTAGTTGAAGAGTTGCAAAGAGCGGATCGCAAATTATGGATTTCTTACTCTGCCTTGGATTCCATAAGCACATTAATGCTTTATGAAAGTTTGAAAACTAAGCTGTCTAATCTGGTCTGGGTGTTTGATGGAGTTTATAAAGGGAACATGCTTAACTTTTATAATAGATACTGGCTTCCATTTGGTGAGCTTTTAGTTCAGATGGAAACTGAGGGCATGCTTGTTGATTGTGCTTATCTGGCTGAGTTGCAGAAAGTGGCTCAAGCCGAGCAGGAGATTGCTTCTCTCAGATTTCGCAACTGGGCATCTAAGTACTGCCCTGATGCAAAATATATGAATGTTGGAAGTGATCAACAACTGCGTCAGCTTTTTTTTGGCGGCGCTTTGAACAAGTAAGGTGCTTCATTAAATTCATAGTATATCTTTTGTTCATTTGTTTTTTAATAGGTGCTAAGTTACCCTCTTCATGTTGTGCTCTTTTTCTTCTTGTGACTAATCCTTCTCCCCTTTACATTTCGTATCCTTTCTTTCGGGTGTAGAAGGGACCCTAATGAGATTCTCGACAACAAGAAGGATTTCAAAATTCTCAACACACTAAATATAATAGAAGACGGAAAGAAGGTTCCATCAAAGTATAATAAGATCACACTTTATAAGATTGGTGGCCACATTGAGGTTGATTTGCACACTGCTAGTGGTTGGCCATCTGTTAGCGGCGATGCATTAAAGGCTCTTGCCGGCAAAATTTCTGCTGATATTCAAACTACTAGTGGATCAGATTACAGTGAGGAAGAAGGTTCCGTTTCAGACAATGATGAGCCTTATGTGGCTAATAAAGAAGCACCATGTGCAGAAATCTCGGGGTATGGAACAGCTTATAAAGCTTTTGGAGGTGGAAAAGAAGGAATAGAGGCGTGTCATGCCATTGCCTCTTTAATTCAAGTTTGCTCCATTAACTCCCTGATTTCGAACTTCATCATCCCTTTGCAGGTGAATTACTTTAGTACTTATAAGTTGGGTTAGGTAGGGACAGGTGTTTACCACCTACCAGTGGAAATGTAAATAGCATAAGCCACCAGGCCTGAGATTTATCAAGGTGCTTCAGTTTAATTGTTTTCTACTTCATCCGCTTCATCTAATTTTTTAAATTTAATCTTGGGACATAAATGTCACCAATGCAGTTACCAAACCTACTGACCAATTGACTGATGGTAATTACGTTTGTAATTGGTTACACTAGTTGGTAGTTTGTAACTACATTAGCGAGTAGCGACAATGTCTTAAAGTAATAACTCAACGTTTTCGCCTAATGGGTTCACGTTGCATATATAACAGAGAATAAGTTGGATAATTTTTTCATTATTAATAATTCATTCTAAAAACTTGCGATACAAAATTTAAGTCCTAATACTTTTCACCAGAGATTTTCACGAATTTTATTGGTTGTGGACCTTGTGGTTGTGAGTGCATCTTCTCCCGTGTTAAAATGACTTTTGATATTTCCATGTGTGGTTCTAGATAAAATTACCAAGATTATCACCAAAAAGTACTAAAATGTGGAATATGATTAAATATTCTTTTTCTAAATTCATGGTATTTTGCATGTATAGTAACTGTTTTTTTGCGTTATTTTTTTCCTTCCACGCCATTATCACACTCATATGAAAACATACGTATAGTCGTATACATACTTACAGTTCATAATCATATATCAGGAATCTCTATATGTTTTAGCACATATAAATAAATTTCCCTTGATTCTTTATCCTGAAGCATTTATGTTGGTGTTTTTATCTCTCTAAGGGCGGGGAGATATCCGGAAGTAATGGACGCATCCATTGTTCACTGAACTTAAATACTGAAACTGGACGTTTGTCAGCAAGGAGGCCAAATTTGCAGGTTTATCATGCAAAGATTCCAATCTTATTAGATTAATGCTTTAAGTATACTGAACTCAGATATCTTTAATGTTCATTTGAAATTTGATATATCATGCGCAAGTTTGCTACGGTTAATGAACTTTGCACTTTTTATGCCTCTCAGGCAAACCAAGAGTTGAGTGTATGTTCAAAGTATTAACGCGGGAATGAAATCTAAAAGTTCTAGAACATGAAGCATGTGAAATATATGACTCTCATTCTTATTCATCTTATAAAAGCTTACCAAAATAGCTATATTTATAGCTATAACTAGGGTACAATTAGCGTTAACTACATAAAGTGGGCTGAGCCCAATAAGCTAGGGTTTAGGATTTCAACACCCCCCCTCAAGCTGGAGCATATAAATCATATGCACCAAGCTTGTTACAAATGTAATCAATTCTAGGACCTCGAAGAGACTTTGTTAAAACATCTGCAAGCTGATGCTGATCTGTCGTTTTAAAATCTTCTCTTAGATGAAATGACAATCAACTTCAATATGTTTAGTCATCTCATGAAATACTGGTTTAGATGCGACGTGCATTGCAGCTTGGTTATCACACATCAACTGCACCGGTTTCATGCTTCCGTATCTCAAAACTTGAAGGAGGTGCTTTAATCATAAAATCTCACATGCAACAAGGGCCATTGTTCAATTCTTGAAATTGTGTAGCTATTCTAGTATATTTCTTTCTGAACATCTTCATTGTTCAAGAACATCTTCATTGTATAATACCTGGAATTCTGATCTTATTATAAGGATTCCATTATCGATATGCGTATATTTCAGCTGGAGTGTGGTGTTACTTATCACCCTCCCTTCCGAAATCTCCCAACCAAACAAGGGCCACATTATCTGCCCTGTTTTTTTATGTTACCAATGTCATATTGTTTCATATATCCCAACAATTTTATAAAGCATAGGTAAAATTGAATTGGAAACAAACTCCTATAGTCTTATTTCTCATCTTGTCATCTGCCACTTTTGTGCCAGAACTTGCTACAATTTAGTGCCCCTCATCATCTAGCATCTTGTAACTGCTATTTTTTTAATGTGATTCAGAACCAGCCAGCTTTGGAAAAAGACAGGTATAAAATTCGTCAGGCATTCATCGCTGCACCTGGGAATTCCTTAGTTGTGGCTGACTATGGCCAGGTAATAATTTTCATTTTCAACGGTGTTTTTTTATGAAAATTTCTATCCTTCAGCTTCACTATAATTGTTTATGTATCCTTTGTTGCTTAGTTGGAACTTAGGATTCTTGCACATCTTGCAAATTGTAAGAGTATGTTAGCTGCCTTTGAAGCTGGTGGAGACTTCCATTCAAGGACTGCTTTAAGCATGTATCCACACATACGAGAAGCAATTGAGAACAAACATGTTCTCCTTGAATGGGACCCTCAGCCTGGTGAAGATATGCCACCCGTTCCATTACTAAAGGTTGGTACACATACTGTTTGATATATATTTCTGGCAGTTTCTATTATTGTCTGTTCTATAAATAATTTCTTAAAGCATGTGCCATAATGTCTCATGTTGGTTTAAGATGTAATGTATCCGTATCTCCCTTCTTTTAGCTGAGAGATATAATGTACCCAGCCTAAATAATCTTCACAATTTCCTTTTCCTTCCTTCCAAAATCAACCCCCGTCTCCTTTAGAAGAAAGCATTATGTGGTTCATATTATTTATCTTCGTCTAAATAAAACCCGTTCAACCAAGCTTTGATTCCATGATCTCCGAAATATCAAACTTTTTGATGAGGGAAAAACATTTCTACCCAAAATAACTATTTATTTATAAGGGACGGCTGGAGTACTATTTTACGAATATATTGCTCCAAATCTTACTCTTATGTCCTTAGACTCCTTACTCTTTACTGTTGTTGCTAGACATTGAATCTACAACATGATATTGAAAGTATGGCAACAACACACTAAAGTTTAGAATTACTTGATAATGAGAGATGATGTTGATAGTGAAATTTTCTGAAAAGGCCGATGAAAAATAAATCTGATCTGGAAAATTTCATATATCCTGAATTGTAGAAGTGATAGAGACTCGTCTATTAATAATAAAAGATTTGGCCTAGTTTATTCTAGAAGGAAGTAGTTGTCAGTTATTGTTAGTTGGCCCGTTGTTAATAATAACTACCTTCAGCTGTGACTGAAAGGATATAAATAGAATAAACTTAGGCGGGAGGGGCAGACTGTTTGATGCTTTGGCATTGGGACTGGGAGAGTAGAGAATAGTTCTCTTCTCTTTGGGACTGGATTGTACTGTCTACCGCCATTAATGAGAATTACTGTTTTTCTGAAGCTAGCTTGATTGTTAATTCTTCTGGCAATACTGCGTACTCTATCAGTGGTATCAGAGCACGTGTGATCGCTGGATGATCTTAACTCGTGCGAAAATGGAAGGGAGATTGACTGAGATGGAACGGAACCAAAGGGAGATGCAACTGAACATGGAGACAAATCAAAGAGAATACCAAGCTAATAATGAAAGGAATCAGCGTGATATGCACGCAATGATGTCGGCGGTGCAGGCCAGCATTGCCGACATTCAGAGGAGAATGTCAGATCGATCGCGTAGCCAATCACATCACTCTAGTACCTCGCATCGTTCTTCTCACCGTCGACATGCGAGACGAACGGAAGGAATAGAAGATTCAGGTACTAATTCTGATCGCGACGGTACTCACGATGATCGCGATCGTCATAGACACCACATATGTCGCCCTACTGCAGGAAGGAAAATAGATTTACCTATTTTCAGTGGCGAAGATGTGTTTGGGTGGCTAGTAAGGATGAACCGGTATTTCAGATTGAATCATACCGAGGAAGAAGATAAAATCGACGTAGCAGTGATAGCCATGGAGGACCAGGCCTTGAGCTGGTTCCAGTGGTGGGAGGGACAAGCTCAGCACATGAATTGGGAGTCGTTTACCAGGGATTTGACTAAACGATTCCAACCAGAGTTAGTACAAGATCCATTGGGGCCATTATTCAGTTTAAAGCAGAAAGGGACCATAAAAGAGTACAGAAACAAATTTGAGGTTGCTATTGCTTCACAGAGCCACTTATCTGAAGAGGTTTTGAAAGGAGTGTTCCTAAAAGGTCTTCAGCGTGACATAAGGGCTGAATTGAAACTCTATTCTACCAGGACTTTGGCTGAGATCATGGACAAAGCCTCCCTTATTGAGAATAAGAATAATGAAGCAATCATTGTAAGGAACAAATATGAAGAGAAGAAGAAAGGGCAAGGGAAATACAGTAACCAGAGCACACAACCAAATTGGAGTGATGGAAGTAGATGGAAAAGCATACCTAACCAATCTGCAGGTATGCTCAGAAGTACATTTGATCAGAAAATGAATAAGGAAGTGAAAGCACCAGATATGAATAGAAATGGCCCTAGACTGTCCAGAACTGAACTGCAAGAGAGAAGTAGGAAGGGATTATGTTTCAAATGCGGAGAAGATTGGAATAAGGGGCATGTTTGTAAGATGAAGAATTACAAAATGATACTGGTGGAGCAATCTGAGGGAGAGAATGAATCTGAAGTTGAGGCTATGGATAATGAAGAGGAAGAAGGAAATTCTCAGCAACTTAAAACTATGCAGTTATCTGTTTTAGGTAAAGCTGGCATTCCTTCAATGAGAACCTTCAAAGTGAAAGGTAACCTGAACTGGGGAGTTGGACAGAAACAGGTGAATATCTTAATTGACTGTGGGGCTACCCACAATTTCATATCTAGAGGGTTGGTTGATGATGGTAATATTCCTTTTGTTCCTATCCAAGGGTTTAAGGTTCAGATTGGGAATGGTGATCTTATTCCTAATGGAGGCAGATGTGATGGACTGAAATTAGAAGTACAGGGAGCTGAAATACAACAATCTTACTACATTTTGGAACTTGGAGGCACAGATGTTGTTTTGGGAATGGAGTGGTTGACAGAATTGGGCAATGTGGAGGTTAATTTCCAGAAACAGATATTGAATTGGAAGCAACAAGGGAGAGACTACACCATTATGGGGGAAACAGCCTTGGGAAATTTGGAGGTTCCATTGAAAACTATGCTACATATATTACAGGACAATGGGGATGGATACTTACTTTGTTATGAAGGACAGAAAACTGAAGAAGGGCAGAATAAGAAGGAATTGGAGGAATGGGAAGATTTAATTACTGAATTTCCAGAGGTTTTCACAAACCAATTGAAGTTTCCACCAGCCAGGAACTGTGATCATTCCATAAACATCCAGGAAGGAGCAAGCATACCCAATCTGAGACCTTACAAGTATACCTTTGATCAGAAGAATGAAATAGAGAAAATAATCAGTGAAATGCTTTCATCTGGGATCATTAAACACAGTAACAGTCCCTATAGCAGTCTTATTTTACTGGCCATAAAGAAAGATGGGGGTTGGAGATTTTGTGGTGACTACAGAGCCTTAAATAAGATTACAGTACCTGACAAATTCCCCATACCTGTCATAGAAGAACTCCTTGATGAATTAGGTGGTGCAAGGATCTTTTCTAAACTGGATCTTAAATCAGGTTATCATCAGATTAGGATGAAGGAGGAGGACATCCATAAAACTGCTTTCAGAACACATGAAGGTCATTATGAGTACTTAGTCATGCCGTTTGGGTTGACTAATGCACCTTCAACCTTCCAGTCCCTTATGAATGAAGTTTTGAGACCCTTCCTCAGAAAATTTGCTTTAGTGTTCTTTGATGATATCCTAGTTTATAGTAAAACTAGAGAAGAGCATAAAGAACATTTGAGGTTAGTTTTGGAAGCATTAAGGAGGAATGAATTGGTGGCAAATCAGAAGAAATGTTTTTTGGGCCAAACACAGTTGAACTACCTTGGCCATATCATCTCTGCAGAAGGGGTAGCAGCTGACCCTAGTAAAACTGCAGCCATGAAGGAATGGGCTATTCCTAAGGACCTGAAGGAACTGAGGGGTTTCTTGGGTCTTACTGGATATTACAGAAGATTTGTTAGAGGGTACAGTCACATTGCAGCACCCTTAACACAGCTCCTAAAGAAAGATGGGTTTAAATGGAATGAAGAGGCTCACAGAGCTTTTGAAGAATTAAAGAAGATTATGTCTACTTTACCAGTTTTAAGAGTCCCAGATTTTAGTAAAAATTTTATTGTGGAAACTGATGCTTCAGGAAGAGGATTAGGGGCAGTTTTGATGCAGGATGGGGGTCCAATTGCTTTTATGAGCAAGGAACTGTCACCTAAACATTGTGTTTGCTATACAAAAATGGAGACCATATTTGTTGGGGAGGAAGTTTGAGGTTCACACAGATCAAAGGAGCCTTAAATACTTGACTGAACAAACTATCATGGGGGAGGATCAGCAAAAATGGATTTCTAAACTCATGGGCTACAATTTCATTATTAAATACAAACCTGGCTGTGAGAATAAGGCTGCAGATGCCTTGTCAAGGAAGGCCAGTTTCTCAGCATTGTCTATAGTAAATTGTCAAGAGTGGGAGGGATTAGAAGATGAATTGCTGACAGACCCCAAATGTTTTGACACTATTCAGAGAGTCATCAGTTATCCAGATCATATGACTGAGTTCAAATTAAAAAATGGGCTGTTGTACTACAAAGGAAGGTTGATGATTCCTCAGAGCTCTCCTAGGATAACCAGAATTTTGAAGGAATACCATGATTCAGCAACTGGTGGGCATTCAGGGAACTTCAGAACCATGAAAAGAATATCTACTCTATTTTACTGGGTAGGAATGAGAAAAGATATTCAAAGATATGTGCTAAACTGTGAAGTTTGTCAGAGGAATAAATATCAGGCCTTGAAGCCTGCAGGCTTACTGCAGCCTTTGCCCATTCCAGAGCAGATATGGACTGACATTAGCATGGATTTCATTGGAGGACTACCTAAGGCTCAAGGAAAGGACACTGTGTTGGTGGTGGTGGATAGGTTGACCAAATTTGCACATTTCATACCTTTATCCCACCCATACAATGCTAAAGGAGTAGCAGAAGTGTTTATCAAGGAAGTGGTGAGACTCCATGGATTTCCAAAATCCATAGTGAGTGACAGAGACAACATATTCCTAAGTTCTTTTTGGTCAGAATTATTCAGGTTGGCTGGGACACAACTGAAATACAGCACATCTTATCATCCTCAGTCTGATGGGCAAACTGAAGTTGTTAACAGGTGCTTAGAGACCTATTTGAGGTGTCTCACTGGGAAGAAACCTAGAGAATGGATTAAATGGCTACCATGGGCTGAATATTGGTATAATACCAATTATCATATATCTTTAAAACAGACTCCTTACCAGGCTTTATATGGGCAAGAACCCCTGGCAGTAGTAAAAGGGGATGTGAACCTAACTGCTAATGATGAGGTGGCAAGATTAACTGCAGAGAGGAATGGAATGTTAGCTGAAATTAAAGAACATCTGGCCATTGCCCAAAATAAGATGAAACAGCAAGCTGACAAACACAGGAGAGAAATGAAGGTGGAAGTGGGTGACAGGGTATTTCTGAAGATTCAGCCTTACAAACTGCAGAGTTTAGCAAGGAGAACTAATCAGAAACTGAGTCCTAGATTTTATGGACCTTTTGAAGTTATGGAGAAGATAAATGATGTAGCTGTTAAGCTAAAACTACCTGATCAATGTTTGGTGCATCCTGTTTTCCATATCTCCTTACTCAAGAAAGCTGTGAGTTCCAACACTTCCTGCCAACCTCTTCCCCAGTGTTTAAATGAGAATTGGGAACTACAGGTGATTCCTGAAAAGGTGGTTGATATAAGGAAAGGCCAAGGGGGGAAAACAGAAGTTTTGATTCAGTGGAAAGATCTTGCGGATTTTGAAAATTCTTGGGAGAAGGCAGAGATGATGAAGACGCAATTTCCAGACTTTAAGCTTGAGGACAAGCTTATTCTTCAGCCGGGGAGTATTGATAGAGACTCGTCTATTAATAATAAAAGATTTGGCCTAGTTTATTCTAGAAGGAAGTAGTTGTCAGTTATTGTTAGTTGGCCCGTTGTTAATAATAACTACCTTCAGCTGTGACTGAAAGGATATAAATAGAATAAACTTAGGCGGGAGGGGCAGGCTGTTTGATGCTTTGGCATTGGGACTGGGAGAGTAGAGAATAGTTCTCTTCTCTTTGGGACTGGATTGTACTGTCTACCGCCATTAATGAGAATTACTGTTTTTCTGAAGCTAGCTTGATTGTTAATTCTTCTGGCAATACTGCGTACTCTATCAAGAAGTCTTGGTCATGTTTTATGATATGCATGTTGGTCATGCAATATCAGTTATATAATAGACCAATCAACGAAACAATACTAAATATCTGAACTCATCACTGTCTCAGTAGTGTCTCATGACATTTTCCATGCATGTGTGGGTATAACTACTATTATGAAAGTTTTAATACTTTCATCCTTGCATTCTTCTTTTAAAGCTTTAGGACAGTAGGGCCTATTTGATGACTTAAATTTTTTTGAGGGTAGTGGAGAGAAGGTAAAGGTTAAATGGAACCCCTTCCCTAAAAAAACCCTCACCTCATTTGGCTAAAAAATTTAAAAGTGTAAGCCCCCTGTCTCTCCTGTTTTGCTTCCTTCTGATTTTTAATTTAAGGAAAACTAATATTTTTATGTGTAACAACATCCCTACACCCCTACCCTCCAACAAAACTAAACAAGGTTACATTTAAGTATTATCTTTTCATCCCCTCCCAATTGGCTGCTACTACTACTGCCGCCCCCGCGATTACTACACTATCATCATCATCATTTTTTATTGTAGTTTTTATTATTTTTGTCTAGGATGCTTTCGCCTCTGAAAGAAGGAAAGCAAAGATGCTAAATTTTTCTATTGCTTATGGAAAAACTACAGTGGGGCTTGCTCGGGATTGGAAGGTATCCATACACATACTTTTTAAGAGCAAGTGAAATGAATAGATTTTTCATCTTGATTTGGTTTCTGGCACTCGGATTAACACCATGCACACACTGTACGCACAGGTATCCCTGAAGGAAGCTGAAGAAACTGTTAATAGATGGTATAGTAACAGGAAGGAAGTTTTATCTTGGCAAGAGCAACGTAAATCTGAAGCACATGAATTTGGATGTGTTTACACACTGTTAGGACGTGCACGCTGGTTCCCTTCCCTTAAAAAAGCAAATTCCTCTTTAAAAAGTCACATTGAACGAGCTGCCATCAATACTCCAGTTCAGGTTTTTGTGTTAAAGTTCATTATTTACCCTCCCTTCCCTCTTGATTGTTTCTATATCTACTCTATAGCTGACTATGCACTTTCTCTTTCTTACCTCAAAAGGGAAGTGCTGCAGATGTTGCAATGTGTGCCATGCTAGAAATATCAAAGAACCGGCGACTAGAGGAGCTCGGATGGAAATTGCTTTTACAGGTTTTCATTTAATCTGCTTCTTCAGCTTTTCCTCCATGCGTGCATATGCTCTAATCACTGAATTATAAAATACTATCCTCCGTATCACATTAATTGCAACGTTGGAATATATACACTATTCATGTGTCAATAAGAGAATCTGTTAAATTATTATTATTACTATATTTGAAAGTGTAATTTAGGGAAGTTATTATTAGGTATTAAGTGCAGGATATCTTGCATTAATGGTGAGGAGCTCCTGATTTGTTTCCTTGTAAATGTATTTATTTCTTGCCTATATAAGTGTGAATATACAACTGAGGAAGGCAACTCAGTTCTTTCATCAATTCTAGTTCTTAGTTCTTCCCAGTTTTATTATTCTCTGGTAATATTTGTGACATGGTATCAGAGCCTGTTCTTCAAGTTCCTGCTCAAAACCCTAAATTTCCCTAGGGTTTTCCTCTGAGATTTTCGTCACCTCAATTGTAGCCTTTTTTTTGTCTCAGATCTACTTATTTTCTTCTCAGATCTGTGCGTTTTTAGCCTCAGATCCACTGCCTATCTTCTGGGAAGTAAACATTCTGGTTTTTTTTTTTTTACTTTCTAGTCATCATGGATAAATTAGAAACCTTGTGTGCTCGATTGGATGGCAAGAACTATGTTACTTGGGCATTCCAATTTGAAACGTTCCTGAAAGGAAAGGATTTGTGGGCGCATGTTGATGACTCTTCGACAGAAAACTCTGCTTCTGAGGATGTTACTTGGGCAGTTAAAGATGCCCAAATTCGTAGTTGGATATTAGGGTCGGTGGATCCTCAAATTGTCCTCAACTTGCGTCTGCATCTCACAGCTCGAGCCATGTGGGCTTATCTACGACAAGTTTATCACCAGGATAACTCTGCTCATCAATTTCAGTTGGAGTTGGATATTTCGAATTTCCAACAAGACTCTCACTATTCAGCAATACTATTCCAACTTCTTTACACTGTGGTCTGAATACATCGACCTATCCCTTGGTGAAGTGCCAGATACTGCTGTGGAGTCTCTTCGGGATATGTTACAGACCCGTCACCGCAGTCAATTCTTGATGAAATTGCGTCCTGAGTTTGAAACCATTCGCTCCTCACTATTGAGCAGAAATCCAGTTCCCTCTCTGGAGATTTGCTTCCGGGAACTTCTTCGTGAAGAGCAGCGCCTGCATACCCAGGCTACCTTGGACCAGGGTCAGTCTTCAGTTGCTTATTCCACTCAAGCTAAGCCGCATTCCAGAAACATGAGCACCACACAGTGTTATTCCTGTAAGAGTTACGGTCACATCGCACAACACTGCCCTAATAAGGTTTGTAGCTACTGCAAGAAGCCCAGTCACATCATCAAAGATTGCTCCATTCGTCCACCTCGTCGAAAAAATACTGCGTATCAGGCTACAACAGAAGTTCTGGCCACTTCTCCAAATGTTTCCGGGGCTGCGTATCCAGCCCCTGCTTCTGCCACTACTCTTACACCTGAAATGGTACAACAGATAATAGTTTCTGCTTTCTCTGCATGGGGGATTCAAGGTAATTCTTTACCTTATTCTAACTGGTTTCTAGATTCCGGAGCTTCAAATCACGTGACTTCTTCGGTACAGGGACTCACTAATATTCACAAATATGATGGTTCTTCATCTATTGAAACTGCCAATGGTAATAAGCTGCCTATTACTGCCATCGGTGATATTTCTCCTCGGGTTAAAGATGTATTTGTTTGTCCTCAATTATCTACAAGTCTTGTTTCTGTTGGTCAACTTATTGATGATAAATGTGATGTGAAATTCTCTTCCAATGGATGTTTTGTGCAGGATGAGGTGTCAAGGGAGTTGATAGCGAAGGGGCCTAGGATTGGACGTCTCTTTCCATTACATTTTCCTCTATATAATTCTGTTTCTGCTTTTGCATGTAATAAAAATACAGGATCAGTGTGGCATAGGAGACTTGGCCACCCGAATCCTCGAGTTCTTTCTCATTTGTTACAGCTTGGTCTTTTAGATAATCATAAAGAGAAAGTTTCTTCTGATTTTGATTGTGAATCCTGCAAACTAGGCAAAAGCAAAGTTCTTCCTTTTCCATCTAATGGTAGTCGTGCTTCCCATTGTTTTGAGATCATTCATAGTGATGTTTGGGGAATTTCTCCTGTTCTGTCTCATTCCCATAACAAATACTTCGTTACCTTTATTGATGATCATAGTCGCTATACGTGGGTATATTTTCTTCGATCAAAGGCTGATGTTTTCAAAACATTTCAAAATTTTCTTGCCTTTGTAGAAAATCAATTTTCCACGGGTATCAAAGTTGTTCGTAGTGATTCTGGTGGGGAGTATGTCTCATGAATTTCAAGCATTTCTTGAATCTAAAGGAATTATATCTCACAGAACCTGCCCTTATACTCTTCAACAAAATGGTGTCGCGGAACGCAAAAATCGTCATCTTCTTGATATTGTTCGGACCTTACTTTTAGAATCCAAAGTTCCTACTCGTTTTTGGGTTGAAGCTTTGTCTACTGCAGTTTACCTAATAAACAGACTTCCATCACAGGTCTTGGGGTATGAATCACCTTATTTCCGGCTACATAAATGTCATCCAATATACACTAATCTTCATCCTTTTGGTTGTGTGTGTTTCGTTCATCTTCCACCCTCAGAACGCCATAAACTCTTTTGCCCAATCTGCCCGGGTTTTTATTTCTAGGATACAATGTCAGTCAAAAGGGATTCGTGTGTTTTGATCCGATAGCAAACAAATTACGAGTCTCTAAAAATGTTATATTATTTGAAAATCAGTATTTCTATCATAGTTGTGTTCCCAATAATCCATCTTCTGTCATATTACCTGAATTTGAAAGCGTTTCCAGTCCTTCTCCTCTCAGCACCCGATTCAAAGGCATAATGTATGAAAGACGTCGTCCACCTGCCTCTTTATCATCTCCTGTCCTGCCATCAGATCCTATGCCAGATCCTCCTCTTGAGAATATGGGTAATGTGGAGATTCCTCTTCGCCGTTCTACACGACGTTCAGTACCACCGGATCGGTATGCCTTCTCATCCTCTTCTCTTGCTCTTGCTGCCACCATTGGATCTGTTGTTATTCCTTCTTGTTATACACAGGCTGCCAAACATAAGTGCTGACAGGAAGCAATGCAGGAAGAATTAAGAGCATTGGAACTTAATCAGACATGGGATGTTATCTCATGTCCTCCTAATATCATTCCTCTAGGGTGTAAATGGGTGTATTCAGTCAAAGTTCGTCCAGATGGCAGCATTGATCGTTATAAAGCACGTTTGGTGGCACTTGGAAATCATCAAGAATATGGTGTAAATTATGAGGAAACCTTTGCTCCGGTAGCAAAAATGACAACAATTCGGACTATTCTCGCCATTGCCGCTTCCCGGGGATGGTCTCTAAGTCAAATGGATGTGAAAAACGCATTCCTTCACGGTGATCTCAAAGAGGATATCTTTATGCGTGCACCTCAGGGTCTTTTCTCTGGTCCCACCACAAAGGTTTGTAAATTACACCGTTCTTTATATGGCTTGAAACAGGCTCCCCATGCTTGGTATGAAAAATTTCGTGCCACACTTCAACAATTCTTGTTTTAGCCAAGCAAGCATGACACATCCATGTTTCTCCGACATACCTCAGACGGGATTGTAGTCCTTCTTGTCTATGTAGATGATATTGTTATCACTGGAACGGATCAATCCCTTATTTCCAAGCTCAAACAACACCTACATAGTTCTTTTCATATGAAGGATCTTGGGGGGCTTTCATATTTTCTAGGACTTGAGGTTACTGTGAGTTCCACTGGTATTTTTTTAAATCAATCCAAGTATGCGGGTGATCTCATTGATTCTGCAGGTTTTAGTGGCACATCTCCAGTTGATACTCCAATGGAGTTAAACATTAAACTTCGAAAAGATGTGGGAGATCTTCTTCTAGACCCGACAATGTATCGTAAGCTTGTGGGCAGTTTAGTGTATCTTACAATTACTCGTCCAGACCTCTCATTTGCAGTTCAGCAAGTTAGTCAATTTCTGTAGAATCCTCGTCATCTCCATATGGCTGCAGTTCGACGTATTATTCGTTATATTCATGGCACTATTACCAAGGGATTTTATTTCCCAACCGGCCCTTCTCTTGAACTATCCGCCTACAGTGATTCTGATTGGGCTGGTTGTGTAGACACTCGCCGCTCCACCACAGGATGGTGTATGTTTGTGGGGGCTGCTCTTGTTTCCTGGAAAAGCAAGAAACATGATCGGGTTTCTAAATCATATGGTTACGTGGTTTACTAGCTGAACTTGGTTTTTCACCTAATGGGCCTACTCCATTGCATGTCGATAACATTAGCGCTATTCACATTACTGCTAATCCAGTTTATCACGAGCGCACGAAACACATTGAAGTTGATTGTCACTTTATTCGTGAAGCATTTGAATACCAAGTTATTTCCTTGCCCCATGTATCAACAAATCTTCAAGTGGCTGATATATTTACAAAGGCTCTCCCTCGCCCGCGTCATCAGTTCCTTGGAAGCAAATTGATGCTTGTTGATCAACCTGCATCAATTTGAGGGGGGATGTCAATAAGAGAATCTGTTAAATTATTATTATTACTATATTTGAAAGTGTAATTTAGGGAAGTTATTATTAGGTATTAAGTGCAGGATTATTAGGTATTAAGTGCAGGATATCTTGCATTAATGGTGAGGATCTCCTAATTTGTTTCCTTGTAAATGTATTTATTTCTTGCCTATATAAGTGTGAATATACAACTGAGGAAGGCAGCTCAGTTCTTTCAGCAATTCTAGTTCTTAGTTCTTCCCAGTTTTATTATTCTCTGGTAATATTTGTGACATCATGTACTTTACTTTGACTACATTTTATTTATTAATGTATGTGAATTATATTTTTGGAAAAATATTGTTAAATTCGTCTCATTACGAAGTTTTATAATCTGATTTTTATTTTATTTTTACTAATACAGAATTAAATATAATGACGGTCAAAGTTGTCCGTTGGCAAACGTGAAAAGTTGGCTGTTGCAACTAAAATGAGACGGAGGAAGTAATAAGCTACCTGAATAATAGGTTACAAAATAATAAATTACAAATCATAAGCAAACGCTAAATGCGATTATAACTTTGTTACCCGACTCAATTGCGAAAGATTAAACCCATTGGAACATATGAAAAAAAGTTTTTGCCACCCTTAGTTCTCCGAGTATTGTGTCAGTGAAACTTTTTGTATTTGACTTTGATTTTTTCCAATTTTAGTTCTTCAACTTTGGTTGGGGAGACATTTTTGGTCCTCGATTTTGAATGTTTCCACATTTGTGCCTCAGAATTTTGTAAAGTTGGCACTTTTGGTCCTTCAACTATAATCACAATGACACTTTTAGTCCTCAACTTGATGTGGAAAAATCACATGTAAGGACTGAAAGTGTCGCATTGATAATAGTAGAAAGACATAAAAAGTCACTTTTACAATAATCAGAGGACTAAATGTGTAAAAGTTCATTACAATATTCAGAGGACTAAATGTGTAAAAGTTCAAAGTCAAGGACCAAAAGTATCCCTCTCACAATATTTGAAGGACTAAAAGTGAAAAAATTCAAAGTCGAGTAGCAAAACTGTAATTGACACAATACCCGGAGGACTAAAAGTGTGAAAAATCTAAAAAATGAAACATGATGTCATCTAACAAAATAATAATGAGTTGACTGGAATTAAGAGTTCAGGTTTTATCTCAAAATGTCAACTTAGTTAAAGTACTAGCCTAATGTTTATATGTGGGATTTGGCTGATATGGGATAGTAAACTTGGTTGTCGTACCGATGTTTAATTGCAAGATGGATTGATATCGTAAACAAATTAACATGCATACCTCCCGTTTAACTCTATACTCTTTTGGGAATAAGGCTTGGATGTTATTGAACACTGCCCATGACGATTAGAATCCGTTTTGAATTTGTTGCTTTGGTAACGTTATAAGGTTCACGATGAAGTGATTCTTGAAGGGCCAACAGAATCAGCAGAGGAAGCCAAGGCTATTGTAGTGGACTGTATGTCCAAGCCGTTCCATGGTAAGAATATACTAAGAGTTGGGCTGTCTGTTGATGCCAAATGTGCTAAAAACTGGTACTCTGCCAAATAGAGTTCTCTAATCTTCATCTCTTATGTAATCGTGATTATTAGCCTCTCAAGTTCATGGTATCTCTCCTTTAGATAGGAAATCGAATGGGTTAGTTAGTTTTGTGTGTATAAGCACACGTATATTTGCATTTGCATTTTGTATTTGTATGATAGAAGGAAAAAGATGAGCAGGTGCACTGCTTATTTGTAACAATCATCATCACCATTAGAATGTTAAATGCATGCTGATTTCCGAGAAGCAGTAGATCCAAACTATCCCCGCGCCCTACTCGTTTAAAGAGCCCAAGTTTTTGGCTGTACCGTTGTTCCATAACAGCCTTCCCGTTGTTCCATAGTGTCTGAAATAACTTTTAAATAATAAATACGGAGTACCATATAGTATCAGTACACCAATATTAATACATACTATATAAATACTAGAAACTCTTTACAAATTTCAAGTATACATATACAACTAGAATGACGTGCCGTTACTTTCTGACCTCAAATTCATAGTAAATTTCAAGTATACATAAACACCATCAGGTTAAACTATACCTTATCATTTAAATAAAGATTACTCGTATTTGATAGTTAAAGTCTTATTTTAAAAAGTTAAATGATTGGGTGTGTTGTAAAAAAGTTTCCCTGTATTGTTTTTAGTTATTTCTATGAGATGTGTTACTATTTGTTTCACATTGAGAAATCATATATAAAAGGGAAAATAACTTTAGATGATATAAATTATCACTGTTGCAAGGTTTGTTCAATTTTAACTTCTATAAATAGTTCTAGCAGCCCGAGACCCCAATTGTTGCATGTGTTGGACCCAAATTGTTTGTTCCGGACTAAGATTTTGACCGCCCTAGGAGTGGTGGAACCCGCCAAAATCCAGGTCAAAGTTTTCTAATGATAAATTAACACTTTGTGATTGAATTATTCTAATTATAATGATACATGAGATCTAAGTTCTAAAAGCTAAAAAACGCCATGGAATTTAAACTAAAATCTCTACTCAATAGTCAATAAGCGATCGTCAGTCATCACAAATCAATCTTAGTCAAGCTTGATGAGTGAGTGAGTATATAATATTTGTGGACACATTCATCACGCTTTATTATATTGTAATACTCCGTTTTATATTATAAAATTAGAAAATTTCATTTTTCTTTATTATATCATGTCTCTTAATTAATCATGTGTGTATGTATCTAATGTTTTATTTGTATTTAATTTCTTTTTTCTTATTCTTCTATTCAATGTCTAATTTATAACTTGCAATCATCAATTATAATTATATGCAATCATTAATTTTATTAATTAGTAAGTGATTAAATAATATGTAGTACATCATTAGTAATGACAACAATTTCCACTACTTTTGGCTCCAAATAGATTTATATTTGAATCTGCACCATATTATCTTTATCTATATAAAAGTATATGGATGCACTACCTATAATGTATTATGTATGAATGGAATTCTGAAAGGTATGTGAATTGTGAAAGGTCTTCACTACAAGTATCAAGGACAAGAGTTTGAGATAAGAGTGGACTCGGGCCGGGCCAACCGGCCCGGACCGGCCCGCTACTGTGCGGGCCCGGACCGGCCCGGTGAACCGGTTGGTGCCCGGTTCGGGCCACCCGGCCCGGTGAGGTAGGCGATTCGGGCCCGAGCCTCCTAAAACATGAACTGGCCCGGCCGGTTCGGGCCTGGTCCGGGCCAAATTATTATTTTTTTTTCGATTTTTTTTTTTAAGTTTTTGGGTTGGGCTGGGTATGATGGGCCATTTGAGGTGGTTTGGGGGTGAGGGGGGAGGGTTGGGGTTAATTAGGAGAGCCAAAAAAAAAAAAAAAGAACCGGCCCGGGTAAACCCGGGTCCGGTCCGGGCCTCCCCTTTCATGAATCGAGGCCCGGCCGGGCCCAGGCCTGAACCGGGCCAGAACCGGAACCGGTCCACCCCTAGTTTGAGAGGCTTTTTCCAATGATTAAATAATATGTAGTACATCATTAGTAATGACAACAATTTTCACTACTTTTGGCTCCAAATAGATTTATATTTCAATCTGCACCATATTATCTTTATCTATATAAAAGTATATGGATGCACTACCTATAATGTATGAATGGAATTCTGAAAGGTATGTGAATTGTGAAAGGTCTTCACTACAAGTATCAAGGACATGAGTTTGAGATAAGAGTGGACTCAGGCCGGGCCAACCGGCCCGGACCCGGACCGGCCCGCTACTGTGCGGGCCCGGACCGGCCCGGTGAACCGGTTGGTGCCCGGTTCGGGCCACCCGGCCCGGTGAGGTAGGCGGTTCGGGCCCGAGCCTCCTAAAACATGAACTGGCCCGGCCGGTTCGGGCCTGGTCCGGGCCAAATTATTATTATTTTTTCCAATGATGATCCTTTAGGCCCTGTTTGGTTGGAGGGTTTCAGAGGGGAGGGAAGGAAAGTGAGAGACTTGTGTGTGTTTGGTTGAAGGAAATAGGAGGGAAGAGGAGGAAAGTGGAAGACTTTTAAAATCCTCCACTTCCTCCCATTCTAAACCTCCCAAATCGGGGTATTTCAGAGGAAACGTGTTGATAACCACAAACTATACATCTCCTACGTGAATGAACAAAATGTTATAATATAAAAAGGTAAAAAACAAAAATTTTGAAAAATTAAAAAATTAAAAAACTAAAAAATTAAAAAATTTAAAGATTAAAAAATTTAACAATTAAAAATTTTAAAAATTAAAAAAATTAAAATTATGAATTAAAAATTTTAAAAATTAAAAATAAATAACTTAAAAAATAAAAATAAAAATTAAAAACTCCAAACTGAAAAATGAAAAATTATAAAATTTAAAAAGTAAAAAATCAAAAAATAAAATTATGACTCATGACCATAGGAGTAATATTCACAATAGTTAGACATGTATCTATTTTTTTAAGTATGCTATCAAATAAAAGTAAATTGTGAAAATATTTTCATTAAACATTTCCTCATATTTCCTCCAACCAAACACAATTTTTATCAAAATCCTTCCTCCCCCTTCCCCTTCCCTTCCCTCCTTGACTCTCCCCTTCCCTCCCCTCCTTTGAACCAAACAAGGGCTTAAGATTATCTTGAGTCGTGTAATCAATGCTTCGTTCCTTCTCAAACGAGAGTTTGAGATGAGTTTTTTAAAACAGGAGATTAGTACGATTACCCATTACTGAAAAAGAAAATGTAATGCTTGCTTTTTCTGTAAAATTTGGCAGTGAAGATAAGATCCATCACCTTTTGCTTTCTACGTGTGCATATGTATCATAGTGCGCATACACTCATACTACTTGTCGAGTGCACTATAAAGGTCAAGTATAAACTAATGTATGGAAAAATAAAGAATAAAATTCGAAAAGAAATGCTCACATTGATATATACTCCGATCCGTATAATTCATGATTGTTAAGATTGATTAATGATATGATTAATTAAACCTTAATGTTTAAATCAGCGTCTAGAGTTGACATTTACGCATCTTATAAACCATATTAAAAGTTGGGTTGAAACGTAAAAATTAAAAACAGATATAATAATAAAAAATGAATAAAAAAGAAAGTATAAAAAGGTATTATATTGTGGTGATTAGTGGTCAAGAAAAGTAATGTTTCATATCATGTCAATTAAAGATTTTTAATATAATTTTTCACATCACATTTAGCGTTTCGTTGGAAATCTAATACTCCCTCCGATTCTGAAACAAGTTCCACCTTTCCTTTTCGGATAATTTCTAAATAAAGTTCTACTTTCTATATTTGGAAACTTTTTCCCAACCATTTACTATTTTACCCCATACCCTTTTTCCATATTTCCCCATTTACTACCTATTTTCTCATTTACCTACGCACCTCACATCTATCTCTCCTTTGTCAGCGTCTCTCTCCCCCTTCTGCAACCCTTAATTTCCCTGCCTCCATTGCCCTCCGTCGCTACCCTTCCGTCATTACCCCCTGCAGCTCCCCCTACACTACCCCTCATAAATCCTTCCATTGCAACCCCTCTCACAAACCCTTCTTCTCTGAAACCCATCTATTGCTACATCTGAAACCCACTGACCTCTACCACTTCCCCTATGCATGGATCCATCTCATCTGAAATCGTCCCCACCTTTACATGGACTTGACGAACCCTCATCTCCAAAGCCAGATCCGAAAGTTTCGTCCCCTATTTCAGAATCTCATAGCCCAGTTCCTCTGAAATTTTATGTATTGCGGTTCGGAAGTCAGGATTCATCTGAATCTGATCCCGACTGGTGGATCTGGAAGAAATATGGTTCAAATCTTGTTTTTGATACCTACGATGGATTACAAGGTTTCGAGGATTTAGAAGGAGAAGAGGTCAATTCGGGAGTGGTGATGAATGGACTATCAGACAAGGAAGAGGAAGGCAGCGTGGGGCTAGATGCAGAGGATGGCAACGACGACGAGGAAGAAGAGGAAGGTAGGAAAGGGCTAGATTCAGATGACAAGAATGAAGGAAAAGGGTAGTATTCATCTTAAATCCTTTTCCATTTTATTGCACTGATTTTGTGAAATGTATGTGTTGCATATGTGTGGCCTGTATATGTGTCATGCCAGTGCATATGTGTTGTAATGTGAAATGTGATGCCAGTGCATATGTGTTGTAACATGAAATGTGTGGTGATGATATGGTGAACTCCATTTCCAACTGATGATGATAAGGGCCTTATTTTGTTGCTTTATGTTAGACATGAGATTGTTTAACAGTGTGTGTAGATTCCAATCTTGCATTTGACTTGCATACATTACCAAAAATCACCATTTTCTTACATTTGGGTAAAAAATTAAACTGGTGTACACTATGTTGGTCACTACATATTGCATTGTATTGCCTGTCAACTACAAGTGCTTTCAAAAATGTGCACTACTAAAGCACTACCAAAAATATGTGCACTATTACAAAAACTTAACTGCATTCAATGATATCTGATAGTTCAAGTGTGAAGATGTGGTACATCTTCAAACATGAACTCATGCTTTTCCATTGCTGCCTATCCTGTGGTAGTTGCCACATGTGTCATTGGTGTCTCATACAGTTCTTGAGATATTTGCACATTGTTTGGTAGCTGCCCCTGCCTGTGTAATCTGTCCTTACCCATGTGCTTCAATTTGAAATTGTTTCCACCATTCTGTGTAATCACCTGTTCCATTACACATTGATAGCTTAAGAATACCTTGTTGAGTGTTGTTGGTGTCAGCTCATTAAATGATGTTGTGAC